GAGGTGAAAAGGTGGATGTAACAGATCTCTTCCATCTCTGACTTCTTACGTGACACTTCTGCACCGTCTCTGCCGCCGGGCACGTGCCGAGACCTGAGCTACCCGCTCCGCACGAGCGTGCGGCACCTCCGAGCTTCGCTTGCTGCGGACAATATGTTTAGAGGAGTCTGATTACCGTTAAGTAACCTAGATTTCGGTTTCTCCTTCTGTGATTGTCGTTTATTTTTATCACATCCTCCATACACCAGCCTCCTTCCTGCCTTTTCTTTTGATTGCTCTCGGTTTACTGCTTTTCTGAACACGCTGCGATATTTGTTTTTTGGGGTTTTTTCTTAAACAATTGAGTGGATTCCTGTGATTAGGCCTTATTTTCTAATATCTGGCTGCTGTTCATGATGGTGGTGTACGAAGTGCAATTAGTACCAGCTGGTTTTCCTAAGCAAGGCAAACAAAGGCAGAGAGTAGCAAAAAGACTTGAGAAAGACCAAGCAAATTTTAAATGTTTAGGTTTTGGGGTTTTTTTTCCCCAAAAAATATTCTAGCGCCAAGAGTTATACTGATTGGAAGGTTTGTAATTATACAGAAACCCTTTCCAGCAGACGTACAGACACACACACCCCCGTGCACACTCTTGCTCTCTGCTAATTCTGTCAGGCTTTTAAAAGGTTAAAAAAGCTACATAATCAAACCCAATTTTATTGTTAATAACTGGGGGTTTTACATAATTTATAAGTAGGTTTCTTAATTTCAGATGCAAACTCAATTTGCTGCTGTATTGCTGATCCCTTTTGCTTCTGACTCAGCTCTTCAGCACTGTGGCCTTAGGCCGTAGCTTCAGGCTGAGGTCAGAAGTGATTCTTGCGGCTGCAGTTAAATGCCTACAAGTCAAACCAGATCCAGACAAGGGCTGTAAACAGACACTCTCTGGTTTCTGGGTTGTCACTGGTGCTGGAAACTGGTGGTGATAGCCCAGGGGTTGCCTCCCCTGGAGCCCACGGTGGTGAGTTGTTGGGTTTCTCTGTACATTGTCCTTGAAGCACCTCACAGCGGTGGTGGTGTTGCCGTTCGTTTCTGTAGTCTTCGGACCAGAGCTTTACACTTCAGGTTTTTAATTGCCACGATCACGGCCTCAGGTTCTGCTAAGGTCAGCTCCAAATCTTGCTCTTCGTGATACCAAAGACCCCGTGCAGACTCTCCAAGGGGTTTCTCTCTTCTGCCGGTGTCATTTGGCCACGTTTCTGACGTCTCCCGGTAAGCAGTGCATTGTTGCTCAGCTTGGGGCCCAGGTCATTGGCTTGTTGTCCATCTGTTGTCCACTCCGTGTACCCTGGAGGCACCACGTACATCGGTACTGCTG